GCAGGGCTGGGCTCGGGGCTGCGCTCCCCCTCGCTGCCGACACTTTGCAAGCTCTGATGGCGCAGGGCAGCCCCACCTGGGCCTGGCTGCCTCACGAGGTTACCTCCCGGGGACCCGGTGGAGGACTCGGTGTCAGCCCTCTGGGTCAAGGCGTTTCCTTTCTGCACATGCTGAGTCCTCCCAGGCCTCCTCCACGTCCACTGGTACAAGCGAACAACCCCCTGTCCCGGTGTGGAGCAGAGGGGAGCAGCGGAGCTGTGAACAGGAGAGTCCATTTGCCTCCAGACAAATCGCTGGATTCATGGAAATCTCCAAGGTCACTCTCTGCTTTGCACTGTAAGATGGCTCTTCCGCACCGTTAACATGTCGTTGCTGCTCCTGCTGTCTGGGTTTGTTTTTTTCCTGGCTGTCTGGGGCAGCGGCTCCTTTCCCTCCAGGAATTTTTAAGGAGGATGTTTCTGAAGGCCATGTGGGGGCGGCTGATCTCTGCTATCGGGAGGAAAGGCTGCTGCAGGTATGGCCCCACAGCAGAACACTGCTAATCCAGCTGCCTCTGCTGCCTAATGACTTTCTCAAGGTATTTTTAGCTGCATGTAAACTTCAGGAAGAGCTTTTTTGTGGCCGAGCACACTGTGGCCTTTGTTCAGGCTTCTGGGAATTGGGAGGTAACAGCTCAGCACGGCTGCAGTAGCTTGCACAGCCCTTTCCCCTCACAGTGTGTTTGCAAGCTGCTCAGGAGCATTGCAGCCTGCTGCATGGGGCTGTCGGAGACCCCTCGAGCGATGCTGAACTCCTGCTGACCTGCTCTCGCCCGTGCGGTCTGCGGCTTGCTTTGGCAAAGCTTCTGGTTCAGGAGCCGCTCAGAAAGGAGCTTTCAGAAAGGGCTGCTCCTCCCGGGTATCTGCATGTGACGGTGACTGTTAGAGGGAACCTTCTCGTCTCCCTTGCAAAGTCAACTTGCAGGTGGACTTAGCACATTAAGTGTCCTGGATCTTTACTTGAAGCTCTCAAGCTGGAGGGATAAAGGCAGTAAGTGGCTTCCCATGGGTTTTGTTTGGGCCCTTGCTACTTGGATGCTGGTGTTGTACAGCGGATGCAGCCGGGCAGACAGGACAGCTCTCTGTGCTGCGCGTGATGCCACGTGTCCCTGATCCAGGGATCTCTCCAAGGCATGTGTATGGCTAGCGGGGCACATGTTGCCCTGTCCTGCCGTCGCGATGGCTACACAGGACGGGCAAGCACTGCGAGTGTCCCTCGCAGGGTGCTGAGGTGGCTTTCACTGCTGTTTTCCACGTGAGAGGTCCCTGGATGTTGGGGCAACGTCAGCCTGTGCCCTGCCCATGCTCATGGGATGGCTGGGACAAGGAAAATTGTGTATTTTCCCCATTATGTCAAGAGTAGTCAGCACTTGGAAATGGAAGCTCAGCCTTTAGGAGCAGAGTTGCCAGCTGGGGTGTTTAAAAGCAGTTGCCACCTCCCTTCGCACTGTAAGGGCGGACTCAGCTTGGGACTCACCAACTTTCCACCTGCCAAAGGCACCAGACACATGGCAAAAGACCAAAATGGCTTTGTAATCCCAGGCAAGTTGGACACGGAACCTCCGCTGTGTCTATGCTGGAGGAGCTTCTGCCAGGAGAGGCAAGCAGAAGCCTGAGGAGCAACTCGGTGTGGGGTTGCTGGTAAATATCTGCCTCTCCTCCTGCCTGCAGCGGGAGGCAGGCAGGACCCAAGCTTGCCGGCGGTCTCTGCTGCCTTGTTGCTCTGCTGCCAGGCGCTCTGGATTGTGCCCATCTTTCACTGGAGTCTTCCGTCTTGGTCAGGATCATCTGTTTTTCTTCATCTTATTTGTATTAACGTTTGTCTCTGTAATAGCTCTGGCACTGAATTCCAACACCCCTCCTGCTTTCTGTGCCAGCGGGCTTCTTGAAATGCTGAGGGTGCTACAGCCAGGACTGGGAGTCCCCAGCCAGACGAAGGGCTGAAGGTGCTGCCACCCGTCGTAGCCCCTCCACCAGCAACCTGCCCAAACTTCCCAAGCTTCCGTGCTTGCAGTAAGGGCAAGAAATGCAGGCGTTCAGCTGGAAGTTGGGGCTCTGCGAGCAGCCGGCCGTTCGTTAGCTGTGCTAGCAAATGAAGCTGCATGCGGTGGTGTCTGCACCTGTGGGTGGGACCTGGGTGCTTGGTCCAGCCTGCTGGAAAATTCCCTGTACGTGGAGGATCTCAGGGCTGGCAGAGAGGTGCTTCTCTCTTTGGGGGAAGGAGAGTGTGGGCTGGAAGGAGCAGGTCTGAAAACAAGAGGTACTGCTAATTGCCTGCAGCATCTCTCTGCTTAATGGAGTGGAGAATAGAGCTCGCTGTGTTTCCCTGGCTCCTCACTCGGCACAGGGCTGAGGTCTGGGCTATCATGGCCGTGAGCCAAGCACTGCTGCGATGCCCTTGGCACGCATGAGCTGCGATGGGGTATGACTTCAGTCTGGG